GGAACTTCTTGTTCATTCGTGCCATCCACTTACTAACAAATCAATCATACCGAATAGAATAATACCTACATAGTTAATACATGATACATTTGCCTACGCATTGTAAAGCTTTCTTTTAAAAATATCATGCAACAAAAAAGTAAGAAGAAAATTTCACCGGACACTTTTTTAGTAATTTCATTGACAAATAAACTTTCCTTGGGCGTCGTATTCTGTACACGGAGTGGGCGCAGCACAAAGAGAACTGCCATCGAGTCATAAAGTACAGAAGTTTCAGTGAAAAGGAAGGACGTATAATCTGAGATAGACTAATTTATGGATGGCAAACTATTTGTATGCAACACTTATTATTTTGGGCCCTGGTTGTTGACCTGCAATATCAATTATCAAAGGCTAATTCCACATTTCTACCACAAGCATTTTCTTGCTTAACAGGTTTTTCCTAATATTTTGTTGGTATGTACATAATAGTTGATGAAAAAAATTTTTTTTTTTTTAATTCCTGTCGAGTTGTGGTGGGTTTTAGCCAGTAAGAGACTGACACACCACCTCATTCAGGGAATTATCACCCAAAAACGAAACAACATAGGTACACCCCGATTTTTTTAAATTACTAATATTGCTGCAGTTTATTATTGAAATTGCTTCAATTGTATCTTCTGCATTCTTTCAATTGCGTGGCATCGCCGTGTTTGTCTCGACGCCCGTGACGCGACTGTTGATCACAAGAAATTCTGAGCAAGTCATCGAACTCGGCAACACATTATGAAATCAATCATTCGTTTCGAGAAATACTTCACAATTACCAACCGTGGTTTATTGTTATCTAATGTACTTATTTATAATTTATTGTATTTTGTTTCAAATCCAAAGATACATATACCTACATACCTATGTTTGTATTTTTGTAGGTATACAGTTGATCTATCTTATTCTCGATCGAATAAGGAACTTGGAGTCCCGTTGGGATGATGACAGGGTATGAAAATTAAAAATATAATTAGTCCGTAAGTTAGGTAATGAAAAAATATTAGACACGTATTTTTTTATTTTGTCGTAAAATAAAACAATACTTAGATAAAACGAATCAAAGCGGAGTGGGAGCTAAAACGTCATTTCTACGTATAAAATGTACATAGAAGTGACGTCACGCAACATTTTAAACCAATATATCGTCGAAAGTATTCGTGTCAGTAAGAAAATAAAAATACGTGTTTAATGATTTAAAATAATCTACCAGACGGACATTAAAATAAAAATTAGGCATCTACCCTATTGCCAAGTTCTATTTTCGTTGTAGGTTTATCTTGTCATAAGTATAAACATTTTAATAAAATGTATTGTCACAAGTCACCTTTTTAAAAATTCTACAGTTGCATTAAAACATGACTTCCTCCTCAATTTCATGACTTCCGTGCTCTTACAGTTGCAGGAAACCTATTTGTTCACGAGCGATTTCCAACAGCTATTAATGACACGTATATTAAAACTACTCCAAAACTGTCAACGACAATATGATTTTGAACTTTATCACGAAAGTAATAACATTGACAATTTATTAAAGACTGTTCTCATTTGATGTTGATTTGCAGTTGTCTGCACTTATTCAGTTATTTTAAAAAGCTACATACTTATTTTCGGTCTCTGGCCTGCCCTTCTCTGTCACACACGAGTCCACGAGCCTTCAACATGTCCTAGATCATGCGTGACCGGTTCCTCAAAGGCTGGAATGTAGTCAGACTGGCGCGCCTTATGAAAAAACTTCCACAAAAATATGTTTTTGGGAATAAAGAAGGATGATGTAGTAACCATTTACGTTACTGCTACCTGAATTAGTTTCCGCCTCGTTTGATTGATTAAGTTTTTTTTTAAGGGGGGAAAATCATCGAATCACTGCTCCCGCCTGGGTGAGGCGGGAGGGGGAGTGTCAGACTCTTACTTACTAAAAACCACCCCGTTCCTGCATGTCGAGCCTGAGCCCCTATAACCCGTTAGGTTCTCCGCGACATTGATTAAGTATAAGGTCTACAAAGCATGAAGTCTTGTAGATAACAATAATTTCTTACATCATTAAACATTTTCCGCCATTGGTGTTACAGGTTTACTCAGGCTACGGTGACTGTTAACATCTGTCGAATAGTTAGCTTGTTTTGCTGCCAATGGTACCCTTATAGCGTAAAAAATAAGCACCAATTTCAGCGAAATCATCCACACAAGAGGACATCGAGGAAAATGGTGCGAATTACCAAAGTTCATCGTTAGAGGTCACGACTTTTGTGTGGAAAAGTATCTAGTGTACTAAATAGGTGGGTACTAAGCCACAACTGTCGTGGTGGCCCGGAGGTTTAAGATGCCCGTTTCTCATGCATAAGTGTGTTGGTTCGAAACCTACCAACGGCAAGTACCAATGTGACTTTTTCCGAGTTATATATACTTTCTAAGATTATCTAGATGCCACTGACAAACGGTGAAGGAAAACATCGTGAGGAAACCTGGAAGGCTTATAATTTTTAATTATAAGTTTGTAATCGCCAACCCGCATAGAGCCAGCGTGGTGATTAAGTAATGCTCAAACTTTCTCAGTGTTAGAAGAGGCTTTGCTCAGCAGTGGGCATTTATAGGCTGTTGATGATGATTATGATGAAGCTACAATTTGTCTTTGCTTTGAGAAAAATTACATGTATAACATCCACGCAAACTGCCTTAATGGTATACCATGCATACGTTTGCTCAGTTATCCGCTACGGTATCATTGTATGGGGAAACTCTTCGGATATATCACGAGTGTTCATTGTCCAGAAGAAGTGTGTTCGTGCAATGTTTAATGTTGACTGGTGTGATTCATGTAGACCCGCATTCCAATCAAATAGCCTCTTAACGGTTCCCTGTATTTATATTTACGAGATTTCTAAATTTGTGAAAAATAATCCTCAATTTTTTGTGTCTAACAATAATGTAAATAAAAGAAAAGCTACTCATCTAGAATTTCAGTTACCTGTTCCTAGATTAGAGTTATTTAGACGAAGCTGTATTTACATGGGTCCCTTAATATATAACTCTTTACCAAAAACTATCTCCGGACTACCTTCAAATAAATTTAGTGTAATGCTAAGAAAATGGTTATGTCAGCAATGTTTTTACTCAGTTGACGAATTTCTAGCAAAAAACCCATGTAAATTCTACAATTGTGAGCGATCTGTGAGGTATAGACTGTAAACTTATAATTTAGATAAATTGTTAAATGTTCTATTTCTGTGATAAGTATTTGAACTGTATAAAGATTTGCATGTCGCCAAGCGGCAAGATGTATATGGCACCTTGACTATGTTATTATTATCACCATTATGTACCTACATTTTATGCAAATAAAGATTCTATTCTATTCTATTCTATTCTGGGTTTTTCCATTTCGAAATTGACTGTAGCAGCAACAGCAAGGAGTGTGAAGTGGTAACCAATGGATGGTTATGGGCCCGGCTTGACTTGTCTTACATAAGACCTGAGTAAATGAGTAAGTAGGTCCTCCTTACTTATCATTATCATAAAGCAGTTGCTCATATTATGAGTTATAAGTAACGTGACCATTTATTTTTTGACTCTAATGGGACATTCGTTTATATAGATTCAGTCGGGTATCTAACAAATAATTAATAAATCTTTATTGATGATAAAATGAGCAAAATACTATCTTAATTAGCGATGTAGACCTTATACAGTTAGATGTCTGTACTAGGAAAGCCCTGTATCACAGGCGAAGTCTAGTAGTTACTTCCGATTATAGGTACACTATAGTCCATAGCTTATCTGTATGTTTAGCTTTTCTTGTTTACTCTGGACTTGTATTTAACCAGAATTCAAAAAGTTCTGATTTATTACAATCCGTGCATGCAGATTCGTCTCTGTTCTTAATAATTTAATTTGACTTTTATGACACCCACATGTCGCGGAGAACCTAACGGGTTACCGGGGCTCCGGCTCGACGTGCAGGAGTAGGAACGGGGTGGTTTTTAGTCAGTAAAAGTCTGACTCAGCCATTCGATGATTTTCCCCCCTTTAAAAAAAACGACACCCACATGTGACAAAATTCTACTCTGAGATTACCACACGGTTTTAGTATTATTTAATTTATATATCACTATGTGCGTTTAATATACTTATATCGTATATCATCATCAAGTTATAAAGGTCAGTTTTGGATGGCAGCCCGGGCAGCTCACCAGATAGTATTCGATCTAGGCTGAAGGTCAGACAAACCGGACCAATACTCATTAATAATAAGGTCGAGATCTAGTTATCATATTGTAAAAGTGTGACTCTGATCTGAGCTAAGGAATTTGTAAACTGCATTGAGCCTATTTCTTAATGTATATGTTTGAAATAGGCGAGTTATTTGCATATTGCATATTTCGTAGGCACCGTTGCGTTCTAAGTTTAGAACATTTTTGAATACTAGAATTTTATATGATTATTGTATAACATCTGAATTATAATCATGTTGTTTTAACCGTGAATCATGAAACTCATTCACAACATTTTATAACTACCCTCAATTTTTTAATTTTGAGGAAACAGACTTAAAAATCTTTAACAGTTTTGCACGCTCGCTGTCAGGTGTCCTAAAATATGAATATTCGCGGAAATCAAATTTTGACATGGGTTACATCGGAGTGTTACGTAAATCTTTATGCTTAATTACGAGTCGCATACGCCGTAAGGTCGTAGAAAGTGAATCGACTCGTGTGAACCGTCAAAAAAATCGGCGGCCATGTTGGCAGTCTGTGGCGCGCAGCCCGCGCGAGTCGACGCTTCCCGCCAAAACTTGAATTTCGAACGCGAATTTTCATAACTTTTTTAAATCGCGTGTTCACGGCCAGTGTCAATATAGTTTTTTATTAATGTGCATCGGATCTACTTCGCATGTGATGTTGTGAATAATGTGAATAACAGTAGTGTTACAAAGTACAATCGATAGATTCTTTGTGTTCTTACATTTTACAAGGATGGGGAACTTTGACAGGACGAGTTGGTTTTATACCATATTTAAAATGGTAAGTCTATTTTAATTTTAATTAACAAATGTTGAATGAAGGTATTAACTTTTCTTTTTTAAATGAGATGCAAGAAAGCCGGTATTAATGTGATACAGCCTAATTAATGTACGTTATATGCGTTTCGTAATATATTATGACTATATTTCCATAAGTCATACGTAATAGTCAAAATTAGTCACTTTTACTGAAGGCGAAGAATTTATCTGAGTCCGGATTGGGTAACAAACTGGTTAATAATTTAATCGACACAATCGTAGTGTCGAGTAAAATCGACTCGACTGTGGAATTTCTCTAGATTTGTTTTGCGATTTCTCTGTTTGTTATGCGAGTTTAGAAAATAAATTGGTTATTAATTTCTATAACTATTTTTATATTGCCCTATGGATTATCTAATTTTAAACATTTTATTGAATCACCATAATAAAATTCACTTTTAAATTAGTTTACGACTTAAATATAAAATTTATATAAAAATAATTTTCTAAGTTAAAATCAATTGCTAAAGCGAGTACAGATAATACTTAATAATTCCTAATTGACTTCCTGGCAGTATACACGTACAATACAGACAGGAAAAAAAATAAAAATATAGGAATTTGAAAATCAGAAATGACAATAGAACCCTATTATTAAAAAAAAATCTATTGAGTCCATTTATAAACACATACACCAGATTTCAATCGAAACAAACATTCTTTAAATAGCACCCAGGCGTCAAGTCTAATCTGTGACGATGAAATCTCACTTAGGAACGGAGACCGCTGCATCAAATGCAAACAGAATTTAGAAGTAAATTAACGAAGTACTTTCTCTGCACATAGAATGAGATAGGGAGCTTCCGTGTAAAAGATTACGCAAATTGTAATCCCAGAAATTAATGTACACATTATGTCTAATAATTACCCAAGTGCTACCAGTAAGTGCTTGTATTACGTAAAATGATTTAAAGACAGTCGTTAAACTAATAAAAATGTCAGGCTAGATGAAATTTCGAGTAATATTAGCGTGCACACATCTTGAGATGAATGTTATTTCATTTTTGAAGATCTAGGTATTTATAATCGTAAAACGGTTTAAGAACGATCATTGCTCTATTATTTATTTATTATATTATGCTTCATGCACTTGATGTACAATTGTAGACATATTGCCGCAAGCATTTACTCCCAGTCTGACTTTTCGGTGATGCAGAGAAGACTAATTGGTACGTGCAAGAAGCAAGCAATGATTTTATTAAACAAAACCTTTAGATATGTACTGCTATTTTAGATGATTGGAAAACAATTAGAAACTATGAAGATCACACATAGGAGATAATTCTAGTGTTGGACCGATATATTTTAGACAATTTTTTTTCGTCTTTGTCACGAATTTATATTTATATATCTATTTATATATTTTATATATCTATTTTGTTTTATATTTTACTGCATATTACACAAGCTTCTCTATTTAGGTAAACCGAAGGTTGACTGGGAGAAAATACCTAATGGCATTAAGTCCGCCTTATGTACCTTATTTTGTGTGCATTAAAGAGTTAATAAAAAAAATTTAGTTAAACATAATATAATATGTTAAAACTTGCACATAATTGTCTAGTTACTGAGTTACACAGTTAATGGGTACATATTTAGCTGTGTGTTAGTTCGGAATGTTAACCAGAAGATACAGGTTTAGTCAGACAGGCTTTACGTAAGACTGATTCGAGATTCTATTGCAAAGCAATTATCATTTTTATTCTATAATAGTCAGTAGTCTATAATTACTTCGTGTGGAAACAGCTTTACTGAGTGATGGGAAAAGTAAATTTTATTTAAATTTAGTTTAAAAAAACTCCATCGATATATGGTTTTAACTCGTCGAGTACCGGTTTTATAGACACAATTAAAGAACAATAGGTCGCGGTCACCGGTGACCGCTTGGTGTTTGACAGTTTAAGGAAAGATCATAAACTGTTTATGTGGCATGGAGGCTGGGTGTGGTGCAGGTCACATTCTCGCACAGCATAAATAAAAATCAAAAAGGAAACCTGTGTTTCATTGGAATTATTTCGTTTAAGTTTTATTTTAAATTCTTTATTAAACCTTCGGTATCGCAGAGACTACGTTTTAGCAAACATTTGAAAAAAATACAAAATTGATATAAGATGGATTTTAGTATCACAATAGTATATAACATGTCTATCAAAAACTTTGAAAGACGGTTTTGTCGTTGTTTATATTATCAGGGACAATCTATCTATATTGGATTAAAATTGGTAAAGAGCTAACTTAGGACATATGACACTTTTTACCCAACATTTTTTGTTCCTTTACCTTTCACCGAAAATCACGAACGGGACACGATACTCAAAGGTCATTTGACATGAAGTCATATTTTTTTAAAGGGCTTGAAGAGTATACTTTATTCCAAGTTGTCAAAATACTTGTGTACGATCACGGCCATGTGCCTGTAACTCGATTCATCGGTGTAAGGTCATCATAGTTGCCATTCACACGTAAATAATAGTTATCTTATACCTTGCATTTACTGTTCCCATTGTGTAGGAGCAGCGTAAAAAACTGACTATACATATAGATTCATATTATATTGAAACTTCCGCTTGTATATTGTAGTAAAAAAAATTGAAATATTATTTCGTCTCGTATGAATAACTGCCTGTAGTATCGAGGTTTAATTACATATATAAATAGGCAAAGACCTTCTTGTATTTGAACCTTATATAAAAATTCCTATAGTTTATGCGGTCCCTCTATATTGTACATTTTTCAGTAGTACACGGAATTTAGTTGTCGCGGAGAATCTAACGGGTTGCCGGGGCTCCGGCTCGGCGTGCTGGAGAAGGAACGGGGTGGTTTTTAGTCAGTAAGAGTCTGACACTCACTCGCGCCATTCAATGATTTTCCCCCCTTAAAAAAAACACGGAATTTACCTGAGTTTTGACGGATGCCTGCACAAAAATCTTTCACCCTTGCAAATAAATATAACGCATCGAGGTGTTGTAGACAATTAGATACATTTAAAATTTTACAAAGCAAATCTCATACTTATTAACTTTGAATTGAACATTTGAACAAAACTTGCGTGTATAAAGCTAGTTCGTAATACAATACTGGACATGACAAGAATTCACTGATTTTTAACATAACTAGAAACGATTCACACCGTTAACCTACCACTTACGTCCTTAGTTAATCTAAGAATGTAAACTTAGGTATGTATATCTGAATTGACCTTTAAACCTGACTTTCAACTCTAAAGTGTTGTTGCTAAGTCTGCAAATGTTATGACACACACAATAGGTCATAGAATTCGTGTCTGTGACCTTTTCGAGGATTTCGTCTTACAAGTTTGGACTTTCGTAAATTAAAATAATTTGTAAAGAATCCTATGAAGTGCTTCATATTATTTTAGACAACAAATCGTGTAACTTAGACTTATTTTGTTAAAATCTATTTGAATATGGATACAAGAATGTTCGAAATTAAAAAATGACATTTATCATTTTTTTCTTTTTTCTTTTCATAACATAACATCACGCCTTTTTATCCCCGAAGGGGTAGGCAGAGGTGCACATTATACCACTGTACAATGTAACACCCACTTTTCACTATTTATGTTATGAGTCCCATGTAATAGGGGGTGAGCCTATTGCCATATACCGGGCACAATTCCAGACTCCGTGCTACTACTGAGAATATTTAAAAACCCAGTAATACTTTGCCCGACCCGGGAATCGAACCCGAGACCCCTTACCCGGCAGTCGCACTTACGACCACTCGGCCAACGAGGCAGTCTCTTTTCTGTTCTTTTTTTAAAAAAACCTTGCCCCGCACTTGTATTTTCTCCTGTGTCGTGGGTGCATTTACAAACATACAATACCACATACACATGACACCCAGACTCGAAACAACAATTTGTGAATCACACAAAGAGTTGCTCCGTGCGGGAATCGAACTCGCTACACGTTGCGCCAATCGTGCAATCTCATAGACATAAAGTATGTATAAAAAAGACAAGAGATCTTTTATTAATAAACTTAATTCATACAACAATTTTAATATATCTATTGAGAAACGTCAATGGAATATATTTATTTTAAAATACATGATCTGCAGTTTTATTAGCTTATTACTAAAGGCTTAGAACAATGATTTTTTGTGTAAAAATGTAAATGATGATCCTTGACTATTTATTTGCAGAAATCTATTAAAGTTACGTTATTTAAATGTCATGATTTAAATTCTTAGAGCGAATGTACCTTGATACTGTTGATTCCTGCTTTATTTTGGTAAAATATTTTGTCATGAAGTCATCATATTTTTTGTAATACATAGAATAGAAGTATGTATGAATGTACGTATGTTATACTTTATTATAGGTCTAACCTCTGTTATTATATTTCAAAGGTATATAAAGAAGTAAACTAAAGTGTGATAATAGAACCTACTGCTACGGTATTAGTCTCAATTTCCTTTAGACACGACCTATTCTTGAAAATGTGTTCCATGAAATTAATATTCGTAGCATTTTAGATAACCAATTTAAGACTATGACATTTTTGTACAAATTAAACAAACATTTCCATAGAAAATGTTTGTTTAATTTGTAATTTCCATAGAAAATGTTTGTTAGAAACTATTTATTTCAATAAAAACTTAAATAAAACATTAACTGTTACTAAATGAAAATATATACAACTTAAAATATAAATAACTATGAACTAAAATATTTACACCTTAAAAAATGCTATCTAAAGCCATCTAAAAAAATTTCTCATCGCTATCGTGAGGTAGGGTGCCCAAAAGACTGGAATATTTCCATAGAATATTTAATATACCTACCACAGATTCAGAGACATGGTTCTTCCAAATAATGTTCAAGGTCAAACGCAAAAAATACAAGAATTAGGTAACAGGTTTAGTTTGCTAATGAGACACCTGTTTTGAAACTCGAAACCTAAATTGTAGTCAATTTAACTTACTAACAAACTGGTC